GGGACCGGGTACTTGAGGTTGGTGTCCAGCACCGGCAGGCGCTTCACCTCCAGCGGCGTGAGCGGGGACTCGTCGGAGGCCGGGGAGCCGCCGGCCGGGGCGGGCGGGAAGACCAGCGGCGGCGGCCGGTGGGGCAGCAGGTTGGGGAACGGGGCGGGGATGTCGCCCGGGTCCCGGGGCGTCGCGGGGCCGGAGCCGAGGCCCGGGCCGCCCGCCTCCTCGGGCGGGAAGAACTTCATCTCCTCATACACCGCCTCGTGCTCGGGGCTGCCTGCCGCGCCCGCGCCGCCCGCGTTCCCCACCATCTCGATGTACACGGGCTCCGCGTCCTCATCCTCGTCCTCGCCATCGCGCTCCCCAGGACGCAGCGGCAGCGGCGGGCGCAGCGGCAGCGGCAGGGCGCTCGAAGGCCCCGGGCGCACCACGCCCGCGCCCGCCGCGCCCAAGGGCCGCGGGCCCCAGATCTCCTCGTGGGAGCCGCTGAGCTTGGTGTTGGGGCTTCTCTTGGGCTTCCGAGGGGGGATCTTCTTCACCGCGCTGTAGTCGTCGCTGTGGGGGCGGCGGCGCGTCAGAGCTGGAGGGGAAACCAAGGAGGAGGGCGTCACTGGACGCGGGAGGCCGGTGGCCCTGTCCGTCCCCTGTCCGTCTTCTGCCCATTCCCTGTCGTCCCCGGCCCATCCCCTGTCCCCTGTCCCCAACCCCTGTCGCTTGTCCCCGTCCCCTGCCCATCCCCTGCCTGTCCCCTGTCCCCGTCCCCTGATCCCATCCCCTGACCCCATCTCCTGTGCCGTCCCCTGTCTGTCCCCTGACCCCCGTCCCCTGACCCGGTCCGTCCCTTGATCCCATCCCCTGTCCCCTGTCCCCAGTCCCGTCCCCTGACTCCATCCCCTGCCCGTCCCCTGTCTGTCCCCTGACCCCGTCCCCTCGCTCCGGCCCGGATGATGTGCACAGCTTGCAGCCGGGTGCCTTGCCATGGGGAGGGGTTTGGAAAGAAGGCGGGGCCACAGGTATGAAATGGGCGGGGGTGGGGGAGGACTGGGATGCCTGTTGACCTGGAGATCAACACCAGCAGACAGACAGACAGACAGATAGACAGACAAGCGCTTGGCTTGGTTCTCAGTGACTCCACACAACACACACATCACACCCCCCACACACAGGTGTCAACCCCATAGAGCCGGAGCCCAGCCGTGGTGGTGGACACTTGTCATGCCATAGCACTCTGGAATTAGAGGCAGAAGGCTGGGAGGTTCAAGGCCAGCCTGGGTTCCAAGGTGAGAGACTGTCACAGAACAAGGCAGGATGAGGATGGTGTGAAGAGCTTGTCTGTACTTTCACGATTAGCTTTGTTCGCTAGAGTAATGTGAAGTCCTACATTACTTTGAGAAGAGCAGAGGCCTGCAGTGCATGGTGCTTGGTCTGGCCTGCCTCACCCCAGCACCTCGCAGTGCGGGAGACCTCCCCTCTGCTGCCCACAGCCAGCCACATGCCAGGCTTGCTCTGAACACCTGATCAATTCAATTCATGGGCTTTGCCTTTCCACAGGGCACGCTCTTCCTGAGCCTGAACTTGAGACAGTCCCTGACTTCTGTACAGACCTCCCCCCCACACACACACACACAGGGAGGCAGTCTGGCCTAGTTCCCACGTTGCTGGGCCACATGGCATGGGAGTTCCGAGCTCTGGGCCTGTGGAGGGACCTGGAGCGCAGAGAACCCGTTACAGATCCGGACTTGGGTCTGCGTGGAATGTGATCACACCCTGGCAGGACACACATGTTTTCTCCCACAAAATGCTTCCCTTTGGGATTTCTCATTAGGGCACATGGGTGGCATTTTAGTCCCCATCCAACACCAGCCAACAAGTTGCAACCATTCTCTGTTCTCTCGCCTCTCCTCAGTCTGAGGGGGGTGGGGGGATGCTGCCCTGAGCCCCCAAGCCAGCAGCTACCCTGTGGCACCTAGTGCTGGTGTGCTGGGCACCTGGTGCTGGCGTGCTGACTACTCAGCCAGCTGCCCGTCCATCGCAGGGACATGGGTGTGGCCAGGATGGACGGATGGGCCTGATGTGAGTTTCAAAGTGTTCTAGTTGTTTCCATGACAGAAGCAGTCCAATTGCCCCTTTCTGCCCCTCAGACTCTGTCCCCAGTGGCTTGCCTTGCCAGCACGCTTCTGTGTTAAGCTGTTCCACTGAGGCCGGCCAGCCCGGGCCTTGTGGGAAGAGCATCCTGGTCTCACTCCCTATCTGCCTCAGTTTACCTGATGATGCTCTGTCAGGTAAACTCTCTCCTACTGCTCTGGGCGTCCTCAGGCAGGGGCGGGTCAGGGGATGCTGCCCAGTTAGGGCACGGAGATCCTAGTCCTGTATCATCTCTGCCCACCCACTAGTGTCAGAAGAGTGTGCTGTGAAGACTTCACTGCCAGAAATTCAGGCAATAGGAAATAATGTTGCTCTGTGAGGGAGCTTGTGCGGGAAGGATGCGAAGAAAGGTCCACGCGGACCCTCACCAGGCGTTAAATCTGTCTCTGTAACGGGCGTGTGCCTGCTCAGGAGACATTCACAGCACTTGGGGGTGGGGTGGGTGCAAGGGACTACTCTAAAAGAGACCCACAATTACACTCATTTTAAAAGAAAACCGTGGGCTGGGAAGGTGGCCTAGTGGTAGAGTGCTTGCCTAGCATGCGTGAAGCCCTGGGTTTGATTCCCCAGCACCACATGCACAGAAAAAGCCAGAAGTGGCACCGTGGCTCAAGTGGTAGAACACTAGCTTTGAGCAAAGGCAGCTCAGTGACAGCGCCCAGGCCCTGAGTTCAAGCTCCAGGACTGGCGAAAAAAAAAAAAAAAAGAAAGAAAGAAAGAAAGAAAGAAAGAAAGAAAGAAAGAAAAAGCTCAACAGTGCCTTGGCAAATGAAACCACGAAGTGGATCCATGATTCCAACTCCATGCATAACCAGGGTTCTGTGGAGAAGGGACAGGACACGTTTTCAATTGCTTGGGGGTCTGTAGCTGGGCCAGGGCCATGGAGCGGGCCTTGGGTGGGCCAGTGGAGGCACGTGTCCCCACGCTGAGACTCCAGCAGTGCTGAACAGACACTGCTCCTCCTCCCCACTCCACGTCCATCCACATCCCGTGGAGGACTTTGCACCCTTGTCCCAGAGAAGGCGGACCTTCGGACCTTTTCAGGTGCAGGCAGCAGTGCCTGAGACCACCTGTGAGCCTCAGAATGTGGCCACCTCCTGAGCAGTGACATCTGCCAGCCTGTCACAGCTAGCCCCTGGGATGGCTGCCACTTCCCAACAGGACAGAGAATGTCTGCGCACCAGGCAGGGCACATGGGCCTGCAGATCCCTGGATGAAGATGTGGAGGCTGGGGCCTGGCCTTCCTTTCCCAACCTCTATGTGCTGACAGCCACCCAGACTTGGAGAGAACTTTGTTTCAAACAGCTGGCCCTAGCTTGTTAAGAGTTTGCAAAGAAGGGTGACTATATAAATATCATCAATTATTTATATAAATATACACATTTACATATTATATATTTATATAAATAATGTATTAATATTTGTATAAATGGTTTTATGTTTTGAGGGACAAAATACCTGTTCATATTGCCTTTCTTAGTAGGTACCTCTAGCCCCCTAACCTAATTGTCTTTGGAACTTGTCTTTTGGAACTTGGCTTTGTGTGTGTGTGTGTGTGTGTGTGTGTGTGTGTGTGTGTGTATGTCCTGGAGCTTGAACTCAAGGCCTGGCTACTGAACTTTTAAGCTCAAGGCTAGCACTCTACTCCTTAAACCCTGCTCCTGGATTTTTTTCTTTTCTTTTTTTGGTAGGTAATTAGAGATAAGAGTCACAGATATGTCTCACAGACATTCCTATCAAGGCTGGCTTTGAACCACAGTCCTCAGATCTCAGCCTCCCAAGCAGCTAGGATGACAGGTGTGAGCACTGGCACATGACTGGAACTTCAGTTTTTAAGATGACACGTGAATGGCTCTGATAGCAAACCAACCTCCCTGTATTCCTTCTCTTGGGAGACCCAGGCTCACAAATCACTTTGAGAGAGTCTAGATTTTCTTCTAACCTTTTGATAGAAATACAGATAACACTATGACATGCAGAGGTGAGATGAATAAATGAACAAAGCCTCAGGTAGAAGCATGAAGTCATGGAATCAGTTCTACCTGGGAGGAACGTGGCCACTGAGCCAAAGTGGTGTGGAATGGGGCCTGGCACAAAGCCACAAACCATCCCAGCCTCTCACATTCTCGAGAGAGCTCGTCATGGCTCCTCATCTCTAACATATGGGTCCAGGACTGATGGCGAATGTGGCGTGTGCCCCGCCGAGCCCTTTCTGAGCTAGTCTGCAGCGTCTGTCGCTTGCTGAGCTCTGTGGCTGTTAATTCTCTTTTGTGTGGATGTTTTCCCCCAGCACCTGGCTAGTAAGTTGATTGTGATGGCAGGAAAACCTGACTTTTTAGGCTTTCGGTTCGTGAACATTTACATGGACTGGAGACCAACTTCAGGAGTTGGTTCTCCGGGGAAGCTGCTTAGTCCAGGCTGAGGTGCAGCCTGGAGTGAAGGAAATGCTATGTAAGGAGCTTTTCCTTAAGAGGCTTAGAGATTTGAATAAATATTTTGTACCTTGAATGATTAAAGAGCCACCAGCAAGCCAACAATTGGATTTACTTCTATTAGAAATATATTAAGGCCGTCCTACTAGTCTGGGGGGCACGGTGGGGGGGGGCATTGACAGACCGGCAGTCAGAGCATGCATGAGCTCCGAGTGTGAGTTTCCTCAGCCCCCCTTTGGCTAACCTTCGCTGCTGGTGAAGAGGCAGGCGCTCACTGCCTCATAGGAGGCGCTCAGCCGGGTGTTGGGGTCTCTCTTTGGCTTGGGTGGGGGCTGTTTCCGAGGCGATGGGAGGCTGCTGCCCTCCTCCAGGCTGAACGCTGAGTGCAGGGATGGAGAGCGGATGGATGGAGCAGCAGCCAGGGCCTGGGCCAGGCCCTCCACAGGCACGGGGATGGAGCCGGACTGGAAGTGTCGGCAGCCGCTCTGGTCTTCAGCTCTTCTGGGGACAGAAAATAACAGGGACAGGCTGCAGAGGCCTGGATGCATCATGGAGACCACAGCTATAAATCCACTTTTGCTGAGGGGGGGGCTGTCTCTCTGAGGAGAGCGGCTGGACAGTTCCCCCACACAGCCCTGCCCAGCCCAGCCCTGTCCAGGAGGAGGTGGGGGGGGGCGGCAGCTATTCACCCGACAGCCTTTAAAAATCCTCTCACAAACGTAGCATGACTGAAAAAGGAACCACGTTTGCTATCACACATTCACAGAATGAGTTCTTCACACTCCGATTCTTAGGCACATCCCCAAACCCAGCATTTCCCTCTGAATGATAATCTTAAGAACTCCATTTCAATAAACAGTTAGTGACACATCGTCCGTGCTTAAGTTCACCACAGTTTCCCTTCCCGTGCAGAGCTACTGAGCATTTACAATTTAGCATCTCTCTCTCTCTCCACATCTCTATTTCTCTCTCTATATTGACATTCCACCAATAATGGGTGAGTTAATGTGCAGAACTGTTATTTTTTTTCCCCTGTGTCTTCCTATGTTGTGGAGTCAACTGCTAGAACTCACCAAATAGAGGAATGTCTCTCCACTTAATTTTCTATCAGGCAAATAAATACATGATCAAATGGAGAAATTGGGGTGACTGTTTAGTTCCAGCAGAGAAAATAATCAATTTTATTCTGGAAGCCATTGGAAATTAATAGTTAAAACTTCCTTCTGGATTCACACATCAACATAATCATGCACTAGCAAGATGCATCCATTTTACAAGGAAGTTCTGAGCGTTTGTTTATAATTATCTCTCTGTGGCAGACACCAACAGGGCCTAGGCCCATCCCTAGCCAGAGCCAGCCGCCCATGTAGAAAATAAAGTCACCAAGGATGGGAGTGTGACACTCAGTGGATAATTTGTTTTCCCTATAATGTTTAATTACAGCTTTCTTTACAAAGGGAATTTTTTTCCCCGTGTTTAATCACTAAGAGACTGGGAGCTAATTAGCAAGAGACACATTGCCATTTCCACTTTCAGGAAAAAGAAATCATTTGACATAGGCAGCAATGGCAAGGACAGCCATTTTCCAGGAGAAACACAGTATTAAGCAAGTTCCTGGGGAAAAATAAACATCTTTCTGTGTGAACTGAGTCCTCCGAGCCTGTGTCTGCCTGCATCCGCTCCGTGTGGGATGATGCCAACTACTCAGGGGTCTCCTCTGGTCAGACTTCCAGAATTTTTTAAAAAAATACATTGTTTTTACTCTCTTTAAGTGGTTTTACAAAGGAGTTACCGTTCCTCATGCCAGTTTAAAAGTACAGGGCATCTTGATCAATGTTCTCCCCCATCCCTTTCAACACAAACTCTTCTTTCAATTTTCCCACTTTCATAGGAGTGTTTCTCTTCTCCCTTCCTCACTTCCCTTCAGAAGTTACTATAAGCCAGCCACTATATGTGTGTGTGTGTATACACACACATATATCTACATATATATCTATGTATATCCCACTTGCATAAAACCCCCAAAAGTCCAGTGGTATGTTTTTGCTACTACAGAAATATAGCCATGCTTTACAACGTCTTGAGCTGATGTGGTAGCTCTTTCCACGAGTACTTCTTCCTATGACCAAATTAACACACATGGCATCAAATTCATGAAAGGAAAGCATCTCTTAGATCGCTGGGGTTCAAAGAGCACAGCACACAAGCTTCTTTCTGAGACGGGGGTCCTAGGATTGAACTTTATACAAAGACCCTGGGGAGTCCTCACAACTCCTTCTGGTGGCTCACAAAGGGAAGTAACTTTGCAAACGGTCTTTACCTTTTCACACCCTCTTCTTGCTTGCTCCTGGCCTCTTCCTTCTCTCTGTGGTAAGGGGCATGCATTTCTTTCCTGAGCCGGTCATTTTCCCGGGCGATGTCCGAAGCGTTCTGAATGACCAGGGCGTCGTAGGTTCTCAGCGCCATGTCCTCCGTGTCCTCCAGGAAGTTCTTGATGGACGTGATCTCGTGCCGCTTAACGCTCATTTTCTGAAGCACATGCTGGCGTGCTAGAAAACCTCTTATGACTTTCCCCCAAAACATAACCCAGGGTTAGTGAGTGGACCAAAAAGGAAAACAAAACAAAAAAAACCCCAAATCACAGAGATGCACAAACAAAAATAATTTATAAAAGAAGACACTTTTTAATCCATAATTAGAATTTGCTAGAATATTCTAATCATATTGAAGAGGATACTTAAGTTCAGTAGTGATGGTGCTGAGGTTGCCTAGACATAGCACGGTTCCTTACACATTATGGTAATGTAAAGTAGACATTGATAGCTTAGAGTTAAATGGGTGAGCCAAGGAGCTGCAAAGTCTAGAGAATTGGGGGTGCAGACCTCACTTTGGGGCTACGGTGATCATTTTTCCTGATATTTTCTTTAAGATTCCTGGAGTTAGTCCCTGAAATACCCTGTGTACTTTCCTCCTAGGATTTGATTTAATTCCTAAAGACATTAGCACTGCATCAAAGACTAGACAGATTGTGTAGAAATAATAGGAAATGTATCCTCTCTGTTACCTGGGAAAGGAAGTTTAGAAATGCGTGTAAATATTGGGAACAAGGATGTGAATATGCTTCAGTTGTCCAGTACCACTTGTAAGAATAAAAAATAAAAATCAAAGACCAACACTTAACAGCACCTGACTTACACTATTTAAGGTTGGGTCAAATTGAACACATCTATGATGAATATCTCTGTGTAGGCCACAATTATAGTGGAATTGTCTTGGTTTCAATAGTTTCAATAATTTCAATAAACAGAGCAATGAAGGCAAAGCCACAGCAGGGTCAAGGAAGCCAATCTCCCTCCCTGAGTGCGGCCTGCAGTGCAGCTGGACATGACCCATGGCTCACTGTGGAGACAGATCAGCATGCCACAGGGAAGCATATTTGCAATCCATAGGAAGAACTGGCCGACAATGACCACAGGATGTAACGCCGTAGGTGCCATCTTGAAAAGGGTACTGGCCTGGCTCCTTGAGCTTGGGCCCAACCCATTGTCCTGGGGTCTGTCTGTCTGTCCACGCCTGACATGAGCCTGTCAACCTCTGTGATGCCAGCCCTGCAGCCTCTAAGTTCTGAGATTAGGAGGGATTGTGGGTGCAAAAAGACCTACAATTTCTGGTCCATTGGGGTCAGATAGAAACTTCTAGAAGGAATAGTTTGAAATGGCAAACTATTTGATATTCATTTGATATTGAATATCAAACTACAAGTTACATCTCTCTTCTTTGAACATTTACCAAGAAAAAAATGATAACTTTCTATAAAATAGAAATGGCTTTGAATTATATATGTTTTTTGAGTGAATTTAATATTGGCAAATAATATTGAGGGGACTATTCTGAGACATATAAAAATAAAAATCAATAATTACTGCTGTACATTGAAGCATCTGTCATTTAAAATGCTTTTATGGCCATTATTTTATTTAGGGGAAATGAAATTATGGCTTTTGTCCAGATGCCATTTTAAAGGCCATTCTGTTTTTTGTTTTTGTTTTTTCCCTGTTGGATGTGGGGCTTGAACTTGGGGCCTGGGTGCTGTCCCTGAGCTTTTTTACTCAAGGCCAGCATCCTACTTCGAGCCGCAGTGCCACTTCCAGTTTTCTGGTGGTTAATTGAAGAAAAGAGACTCATGGACTTTCCTGACTAGGCTGGCCTCAAACTGCAATCCTCAGATCTTCCATAGCTCCTCGGATTACAGGCATGAGCCACTTGCTTGCTATTCCGTTTTCATGTGTGTGTGTGTGTGTGTGTTTTAATATTTCTATCAAAAGGTGACCAGAATCAGGGTTCTGTTCACACCCTATGCTCTGAGTTGGCTGTGTATAACAGCTTTGTCTTTGGAGCAAAACAGAATAGAATTTTCTAGTTGTGTTTGTGTAGGAGAGGGTACAGACTTCTCTGGTGATCTGTCAGGTCACTGCCCAGTAGAATGCCAGTGCTGTGCTCCAGCTTAACGCCATGTTACAGCGACAGTGCTCAACCTGTCCCCATCTCTGGGGTGGAATTCAGTGCTGTCCTTCTTGTCCTCAGGTGGGACAGAGGGACAGAGGCGTCAGACGCCTTCTGAGCAGGTGCAGGATGGCCCACAACCATGATGTCTGTAAGAGAGGGGTGTTCAACATAGTTCTGGGGCTCAGCCTCTCCCTTGTACTAATGAAGAATGAAGTCACAGGGATCGCTTATAATAAGCCAGAGAGAGCGACACACGCACATTCACAGACACAGAGAGAGATAGAACAGAGTCTAGTTTGTGGACTCCCATCTCAAAGAAGAGGAAGAGGAGGAGGAAGAAGAGGAGGAGAGGATAGGGAAGGTTCTGAATCAAGAGGGCGAGGGCTGTTCCCTCCCTTTCTCAAGGCTCTCCCAGGCCCCAAGGGAGAGAAATGGCCCCAAGGGACCACAGGAGGATTTGCCATGAAGCTCCAGAGCGGGCTAGAGTAACACTTTCAACCACATTAGAACACCAAGCTCAGCATGTTATACCAAATGCTGGCATCTAGTAAAATTCCTTCCTCTGTTATCTTTCTTTAAAAATTAAACAATGAAGCCCACTAAAGAGTGTCAAATGCATAGCCATTTTACAAGAGGTATAACTTTAAAATAAAACAGAACCATCATGGACAAGGTATCATTGGAATACATCCTATGCACATGCAGAAAGGTCACAAGGGACCCCTTGCTGTGTGACATTAAACACACACTAAAGACAAGACGGTTTCCCTCCTGGAAAACAGGCCCCCTCCTTAACAATCTCCTGGATTCCAACAGGACACAGATTCAAAATGGAACATCTTCTTTGCTGGATACACAGATGCTATCTGCCAGCAAAGAAATCACCCTGGATAGTATCTTTACTTGATGGAGGGAAAATCAATCAAGGAATTTTCTGGGGCTGGTGTGGCATTACAGAAAACTTGTTGGCCGGTGATCACTTCCCAGACCTCGGCAGAGTGTAAGTGCTGACCAGACACTAGCAGCTGGGCAATGTTCCCTCCACCCAATCCAAGGCACAACCTTATCGTCTGTGCTGGTGACAGAGAGTGCTAAGCCTGGATACTCCATAAGAACTTCATCTAAAATGTGATGGGGAATCTACCCACGCAGGCATAAGCGGGTCTGTAAACATACATACAACATGTCAAGGCACAAGGCTTTCTATCGCTCAGTACTCTGCCTTGACGAGGCTCGGGGTGGGGTGGGGAGCTGATGAGGAGGTATGACAATGCTGGTCTCACAAGCACTTAGACTCAGGGTTCATGGAATGATCTAGAACCTAACAGCTCAAAGGGGCTGTGGCATGCTGACGGGTGGCGCTTACCTTTCTGGCAGGTTATGATTCTTTGCTGTAGCTGGAGACACAGGTCACTGAGCTGGTCCATGTGCCAGTACTTCAGGAACACTTTGTGAATGCCCATCTAAAACACACACACACACACACACACACACACACACACACACACGTTAGGGATACATTTCACTGTTTGGAGATGCTACCAGGGCGATGGGAAAATGGTCACATAGGTGATTTTCCCAGTAGAGGAAAATTAATTATGCATCCCTATGAGTTTTTAAACACCATCCTATCTGTTCAAATCGCTAAAGGCTTTGTTCTGATGTCTATGCCGACAATGCACCCCACTGGTGACACCACACCATTGTTCTGCGCTCTCTGCCTGAAGATACCATGGTGTGGGGAATAAGCCCTTCGGTCCAGAGCCAAACCAGCCCATGACTGGCATCGTCTCTTTCTTCTGCCCACTCCCAACAGGGAAATTGAACACACAGAGACCAAAACTGAGCATAAATCTGATACTCAGTGTTTCCCCACGGCAGCGTGCAATATTAGATGGAAAGCCAGTATGGTTATTGGACTTCAAAAGTCTCAAGAAAGTAATCGCTGAGTACAAATGTCCATCTCTGAGTACAAGTCAAGGACAAGTACTTCTTAATACCAGGTGCATCACTCCCTGGAATTTTAATGAAGAAGTTGCAGCATGGAGTCGAATGAGTTTCCATGTCAAACATCGGAGACTTTCGAGACATGTTTGTATGAAGGAAGATAGCTACTGACAGAAATCCCTGAGCAGCAGAATGATACACTACATCCTGGCAACCTTTAAGCGATTTTACTGTACGTTGTACTTATTTTTAAGAGTTCAGAGAATGGGGTGTGTGTGGGAACACACATCCTCACAGGCATGTCAAGAGCTCACAGGCTTGTGGGGAAGCAGACTTGAATTACTGCAGAACAGCCCACTGGAGACCAAGGGGAAGAGTCAAGAAACCCAGAGGTACTGCTGCTCCATTAGGGAGAGAAAACAGGAAAACTCTGCCTGCCACACGTTCATGATTGTATTCTTGGCACTTGAGACAAACACCAGTAACACAGGCAGGAGACCAACACATGTGCCACGAGCATAAACGGGGATATCACTGTGCCAGCTTCCCATCACAGTGGCACGCGGGGCTGGTGCACATGCACATGCCATTAGGCACCGTTAGTGTTTATAGGTCACACTTGTCTCCAGGGTGCTTAGCTTGAGATGGTTCATGGACCTCTTCACATGGAAATGGAGCTTAATCCAGATGTACAGTGTCAGTGCTACCTTCCCTGGAATTCCTTCCTGAATGCAACTGTGTTTCTGCAGACTTGACCTAAAAGTTCACAGGATTACAGTCAGACTGATGGTGTCCCACCCCTGGGGAGAGCTCCCCAATGCCTGGCTTAACTCAAAGACCTCTGGCAGACTAGACATCACCTTCATTTCATTTTCTCTGAGCTGGGTGAAAGTCAGGACAGTCACACAGGTGCATGTAGGGGGCTCCTGTGTGTTCTTACCTTTATCTGCTTTCTCTCTAGCTATATTCCATAATTCAAGGTCTCCTACTTTCCTTCTCCACTGATGATGTGCTGTGGCATTGGTGGGAAGAATAGTTGGTCCCGTTAGGGAGGGTGTGGGGAAGAGCAAGACTAGGCTCTGCTCCTCGCTGACTGTGGGATGTTAATTATGGTGGGAAAACCAATCCTCGGGCAACATTCAGAGAAACCTGAGTTCCAACATGGCACTGTGAGAGAATGATGGTCAACACAATGGCCTAATAAATGGAGGAAGACCCGAGGGATGGGAGCAAGGGTGTGGAACTCTGTCCTGGAGCTACATGGAGATGCCAGGTAAGAAGGGTTGGCTGAGATGATCACAGCCATTCTTCAGGTCCATTCAACACTCAAAAGTAGATCACCTCTGAACAGGGTGCTGTGCTCTGGAGATATTGGTCCTCATGGCGAGCACGGTTCACTGGGAAAAGGTAACGGCGCAAAAGTGCCTGCAAAAATCCATGCTCAGGGCGACGAGAGAAGTATGTACTTAGGAGCACAGTGTTTGAGAGGAAGGAGTCACCAACAAGCAGTTACACAGGCCTCCTGACGACCATGTCCTGCAAGTCTTGGGGCTTGGACAGATGGAGAGGGACCGTGCAGGGCTTCTGGGAAGGCTAGGAGATGAATGTGAGACAGAAAAGGCCAGAACCAGAACATGCCACTCCCTGGGGCCTGGCCATGTCTGCAGAGATGGAGACAGCAGCTGGGGAGGAAGTGTGGCACCACTACTACAGGCATTCTGGAAAGACTGGACATTTCCTTGTAGTAGATAGGTTATGCTAGAGATGAAAAGAGATCTAGTACCAGCTATCATAATTTAACATTTTTTCCCCTGAATTTTATCACGTTCTGTTTGCATGATGGGTGGCTAAGCTGGGTTTTGGGGGTAGCAGGGTTTGCAGGGGATGGAGTGCAGTGAATGGAATCACAATGTTCCCGCACTAGTTTCTCTACTCCCAGGGAGGCTTCGATCCTTCCATGTGTATCTCAAAAACCCTACCGATACATCATTAGTTCTCTCGCTACAGGGCATCCTGTGTTTGACATGAGATACATTTATACCTCCTGAGGAACAGGGACTGGTACTCTGGAAATGCACGGGTAGTACGGATGTGGAGAGAGTGGATTCAGATTAGAAGGAACAAAAGAGAAGAAAAGAAGAAGACAGGAAAAGAAAGGAGAAGGAAAGGGAAAAGAACAGAAGTGAAGGAAGATAAGGGTGGGGAAGGGAGGAGAGAAAAGAAGAGAAGAGAGGAGAAGAGACACAAGCCGAGACCAAATGAGACAAAATACAATCTCATGGCTTTTAAAGGCTGGGGATCTATACTGTCTGTGATGACTGATCGGGAGATGGTGACATTGTGACATCTGTCCTGTGGAAGGTCAAGGAGAATCAGCAATGCTGGGTTACATTTGGTGTTATAAGTTAAAGACTCACTGAATCAGCCTAAGAGACCATCTCAGATCACTTGGATGTTTGGGTTTTGTAACTTTCTCTCCTGAAAGGCTGTTTCTCACCAACCAGAAGCAAGGAGAGGCTGAGGGGCTCCCTGGGGGCCTCTTCCCATGGCTGTGGAGAGACAGTGTGACCGTGTCCAAGACAAAAGCTCTCATGTCACGCTGACCCCCGAGAAGCAAATTGTCTCTGAGTCACAGGCATCCCTCTCTTCATTAGGGAATCATTAGACATGGATTTATTCTTTTCAAGTGACAGGTTTTAGAGGATTGAACACAATGGGCAGGGATGACTTTTAAAGCTCCAAGCTCTGCTCTGATTTTCAGGGATTTTTTTTTTGGAGGCACAGGCTGTGGCAGCAGACAAATACAAATGTTGGGGCTCTGGGACAGCAATGGTGGGGTGCAGGTGGCACGCGGGTTGTGCCAGAAGGGAACTAGCAGGGGGATCCTATGAATGATTTGTCTTCTTTGAGCACTGTTGTGAGAGTCCTGCCCAATCCTGGCAGCACCTTTGAAACCGCACTCACGACAGAAACAGCACTGCCGGTGTCCTGTGCTAGTTCTTGAAATGCACAGGTTTCCCGGTTTTAATGAAGTCCAGGAGAGCAAAAATGACGGAGGTGGAAACAATGTTCCACAAGGGCAGGATAGAGGAAGAATCCTCTCCTCTCAATTGAAGCCAGGAATCTGAAGAAGACTCGGCTTTTACCAGAGTCCTACGTGTGAATTAATTTGGTCTCCACTCTTTTACTGCAACTGAATAATAAAATCAGCCTCGGTTTATCTGCTGGATAAGTTAGGGAAGGAAGCTTCTGCTGTGTGGTTTTGCTTTGGTCAAAAAGAATGGTCAATTTAAATGACCCAAAGAAAGGATCTGGTGATTCTGGTGATCCCACAAAGTGATTTAAATTGTTTCAATGGCTGTACAATTCCCCCTAGGACACGCACCTTTGGAGGGGATTGAGTAGACTCACAGTCCCCAGAGTGGACCCTGGGGACAGACTGACCACAGCCTCAAGGGGCTCCAGGCCTCTGGCCTTACCTAGCTCAGCTGGTGCATTTTGATGAAAGAGAAGGAGAGGATTATGAGTTTTAGAGTTTATGGCATCTTTACAGTCACCCACCAGTAGTGCAGGGGAGACCATTAGTCCGGGACCTCTGAGATCTTCGTGAAAACATGCAGTCAAGCTCCATCCTTTGGGAGATAAGCCGTCTCGAGTTGTAGGCCGCATGTTCATCCTGGGATCTTGTTAAATGTTCCAGCAAGAGCGCGGGTGCCTTAGGCAGGGTGGGGACTTGTCACTTGGTGTTGTCCAAGCCGGAGGTGCCACGAGGCCGCTCCGAGTCCCATGTCACACAGACAGGGTTACAAGGCTGTCCTGGGCGTGCCTTCTCCTCAGGCTTCGTCTGTCTGGGGCTTGCTGTACACCGATGCCCTGGCTGACCAAGAGCCGCCTCAGAATCCCCGACATAACGGGCCTCTCACACCTACTCTACTCTGGACAAACTGTGATGGAAACTTCCCCCACGCAACGCTCACCGATGCACAGGCGGACCTCATGCCTCCTCGCCTAGCCCACGCCCTGACTCCAGGTTTGCTAAGCACCTGTCTCCCAGATCCTCCTGCAGATTAATTCAAACACAGTTGCCCCTACACACACTCCACCTGTCACAAATTCTGTGTTCTTTCTGCACGAGCGGGGGACTTTATGAAACACAGCCACACATTCACCTCCTCTCATCTGGGCCACATTTAATGGCCCCTGTTTATAACCCGAACCTAGATCTTTAAGACACAACATTGATCAGACATAAGTCTTAGACACCTTCAATCTGCTTAACTATTTGATTAATCCAGACTATAAAAAATACATCCAATTGGACTCAATAAATAGAAGTGCTAATTTTTCATAGTTCTAAGGCCAGCCTCTTGTATGGAATTATTGTAGATTACACCTTCCATCTAACTCATTCTCTAGTGATGTTGATGGCAAACTGGGGCTTGAGCTTAGGGTCTTGTACTTGCCAGTCAGGTGTTTTTCCTCTGAGCCATGAGTCCAGCCCATTTGGGGTCAGCTG